GGGGGGCTGCAGTGATGGTTGACTTTCTACAACTTTCTCCCATCTCCCGACTGCATCTCTGGAGCTCAGCCACAGTCATCTTTGGGTTCTTCTGTACCTCTCTCACCAAGGCTCTTCTTCCCCGATAGCTCAGTTTGGCCGGACGGCCAGCTCTAGGAAGGGTTCTGGTCGTCCCAGACGTCTTCCATTTAAGGATTATGGAGGCCACTGTGCTCTTAGGAACCTTAAGTGCAGCAACCTTGGCCAGATCTGTGCCTTGCCACAATTCTGTCTCTGAGCTCTTCAGGCAGTTCCTTTGACCTCATGATTCTCATTTGCTTTGACATGCACTGTGAGCTGTAGGGTCTTATATGGGCAGGTGTGTGGCTTTCCTAATCACATCCAGTCAGTATAATCAAACACAGCTGGACTCAAATGAAGGTGTAGAACCATCTCAGGGATGATCAGAAGAAATGGACAGCACCTAAGTTAAATATATGAGTGTCACAGCAAAGGGTCTGAATACTTATGACCATGTGATATTTCAGTTTTTCTTTTTAATAAATCTGCAAAAATGTCAAAAATTCTGTGTTCTTCTGTCAATATGGGGTGCTGTGTGTACATTAATGAGGAAAAAAAATGAACTTAAATGATTTTAGTATATGGCTGCAATATAACAAAGAGTGAAAAAATTTAAAGGGGTCTGAATACTTTCCGTACCCACTGTACATCCAAGGAATCCAAAACGTGTTGTCCAAAAGGGAAGTCCGATAAGCCAATACACAAAGAAGCAGTCTGAGTTTGAAGGGGAAGGCAATACATGGTGGTCAGAAACTAGCGAGTCAGGCAAGGATTAATGCTGGAGAGTCAGAGCTGGAGCCTAGAACAATCTGGCAGGTTACTGGTGGAGGAAGGCTGCTTATAATGCGGTGAAAACACGTGCAAACAATCAGGAGCAGGTGAAAACAATGAGTGCTGAGTAAAGTAAAAAGTCAGAAACTGTGGTGAAACAAAAACAGGAAGCGATGTCAATCTAAAAGCATGAGAACAGAAACAGGTGGGACAGAATCATGACAACCACAGTGTCAAAATATCAGTAGAAGAAGAACTGCATTCCAAATGTTATGTAAGTAAAAGTACAAAAATATTAGCATGAAAATATGCTTGAAATATCAAAAGAAATGCAGAATGGTACATTTCACATTAATGTATATCATGTTATTGGATTGCAAATAAGTGATTGATGCACTATTCTGTGCATCACATTTAATACTGCAGCTGGTAAAGGTGGAGCTAATGTTAACTACCTTAAATGCTTATAATTTGAATTACTGTTGGGTAGTTACTGAATTTCCCACAGGGAATAAATAAAACCCTATGATTATACTGTAACTAAACTAAAGTAACCCAAATACATGCAGTAAAGAGTACAAAGTTTGCATCTGAAATGTGTTAAGTACATTTACTCAAGTATGGCACTTAAGTACTTTTTACACCAGATGACAGTCAATGAGAGACAGCAAAAACCTGAGGAGGAGTTGAAGAAAGAGGCAGCAAAAGTCGGTTTCTCTGTGTAAAAAGATGAAC